ATCTTTTTATTTCATAGGTCGTCTCAAATCTTAAGATATCTTGGACCCAGTGCGGTAGCCTAGTGGCTAAGGCCCTCGCCTTGCACGTGTCGGGACCCCATATAAGCACATCATGTCTCAGGTGCTGGCTCTCTGCTTGTGGCCTGAGAAAGCAGTAGAGTTCGACCCAAAGTCTTGGGACCCTGCACCCTCATGGGAGACCTCGATTTGGATCGGCTCAACTCTGGCCTTTGCGGTTGCTTGAGGATTGGGACAGTGATAGAAGATATTTCTCTCTATCTCTCCTCTCTGTGAATCTGATTTTCCAATAAAAATAAATAAATAAATATTTTTAAAAGGTAGCATATCTTTCTCATAGATTACAGAGAATCTTAAATAAGATAAAAAAAAATAAAAAACCAGGCAAAGTGTCTCTCATGGAGAAAATGCATAATGTATATCAGCTGTTAGTATCATTAACATTATTGTTTTTTATTTTCATTTATACTAATTTTATTGAAATTTGAAGACAGAGATCTTCCATTCACCTGACCACTTCTCTGAAACGGGACTGAGCTAGGCAAAAGTTTTGAACTCAATCTGTCTCCCAGGTGGGTATCAAGGAACCCAAATTAGTAAGCCATCACCTGCTGTCTCCCGGAGTATGAAATTACAAGATTATGGAATCAGCAGCAGAGCGAGGACTAGAACCCAGGCATTCTAACAACAGCTTAAGTGATGTAGGCATCTTCATCCGTGAGCTGACTTGTGCCCCAGTATTGTTATTTTCATATAACTTAATCACCCTGTATTTAACCCAAAGTATTTCTACTTCCACAAATTCTCTCAGAATTCAAAGAAAAGGTTCTCTGCGAAGATTTTTCAGATTTATAGAATCAGTGGCTTTTTAATGAAATGCCACTTTTAAAGAATACATAACCTTTATTTCTTGGTCACCAGGCTGTTTGTAATGGAACTGAGTCCTCAGGGTCTTCTAGTGCACACTGTTTTTTTTGTTTGTTTTAGTGTTACTGCCTACACTGCCTAATCAAAGAATGTGTTCAGATTCTAAGCGCACCTTTTCAATGGAACTCTGACTGCCCAGCCCTCAATATTCTGCGGCCCCTAATGGATCACTGTCTCCAAACCAGAAAGGTGGTCCCTCTGCAAACCCACAGGGTACATGCTGTGTCTGCCCACTCCTGCTGCATGCATTGACATTCTCCAGAGAAAAGAGGCTGGCTCCAGGGACCACAGGATACCAGAAGATTTTGGCCAGTCTTCATAACCACTCTGCAACTCTACACTCTGCTTTTCAATCAAGCACCTTTGCTTTTAAAGAGGAGGGACAATGGTATTAACGCCCACTTCAGCCTTATCCACACTTTATGAATCCTAGCTCTATCCAATTGTGCTTACGATAATAAGAAGAATAAGAATAATAAGAAGAAAAAATCTGCTCCTAGCTTCACTTCTAAAAGCAGGAATAAGCCCAAAATCTAATGAAATTCTGGAAGTTACTATGTTGTATCTCAATACCAAAACAATAGGAGTGTCAGTTGTTATTACTGTTACTTAAGAAGTAGTAGTTATTAAGCCTTTACTTCGAACCAGACATTACACACACTACTTTACATTTATTATCTCAATTAATCTTCCAAGCAACTCTTTGATAAAGTCCACTTTATTATCCACCATGAACAAATGAGGTACCAGTGGCACAATGAAATGGAACAAATTGCCCAAAGTCAGACTTAGAGCATGGTGGAACTGACCAGAAGCTCTGTTCCTGTAGCCCTTATAAGATGGTGCAAAGCATGTCCATGATCATTAATAAAAAACATGTGACCTTCTTACTGTCAAGACTTTGAGGGAGGATCTTTTTGATGTTTATTTGTATTTATTTGGAAAACAAATGACACCGAGAGAAGAAGGAGAGAGAGAGAGAGAGAGAGAGAGAGAGAGAGCCTCCATCTGCTAGTTCATTCCACAAATGATTGCAACTTATAGGGCTGGATCAGACCAAAGCAACGTGCCTGGACCTGCAATTAGGGCTTCTCTGTATATGCAGTGGACCAAAGGCTTGGGCCGTCTTCTATTGCTTTCCCCGATACATTAGGAGGAAGTTGCCCCAGAACCAGGCAAGACTTCAGTGAGAGCTGAAATGGGATACAAGCATCTCAAGTGGTAGCTTAACCAGTAGAGCCACAATACCAGCCTGTGGATTTGGTTTTTTTAATAAACATTTGTCTTTCTCTCTAAATCCTCCTTTTTAAATCAGTAAAATAGTAGTTTCTGTTATTAATAAAAATGTGCAAGACAGAGAAGATTAAGGCAATAAACCTCTAAATAAACTACCAAAAATGAATGACCAAAAAACTCTCTTACCCTATGTTCTAAAAGTCTATTTGTTAAAAAGCTGAGTTCCTTGACCCAAAATTTTACATGCTGAATCCTAAACCCTGGTACCTCAGAATGTGATCGTATTTGGAGAGATCTTTAAAGATATGAAAGTTAAAATGTCATCCACAGAGTAGGTCCTAATCCACTATGACTTATATCCTTTCTGCACAAGCAGGAATGACCATGTGAGTACCCAGCAGGAGGGAGACCATTTACAAAGCCAGAAGAGGAATCTTGGAGGGAACAAATCCTGTCAATCTCTTGGTCTCAGACTGTCAGCCTGAGTAAGAAAGTAGATCTCTTACTGATGCTACCAGGTCTTAGTGCTCTGTGTAGGGTGCCATAACAAATGTGTAGACTACTATTTTGTCACAGACTGGGAAGCTAGAACATGAGATTTATTTTTGAGAAATCTATAGCTCCTGCACTGGCTTAATATTACTAACATGTAAGAACTTTTTTTTAAGTTAAACAATACAGTCTAAACAGTACAAAATTAATCGTAGGGAGGTGTAAACATGCACATTATCCCAATTTTCAAAACCAAGATTTTTAAAGCCCTTTATATAGGTGACATATTCACATTCTTTATCTCACCTTCACCTCCTTCCCGTTCTTTCTCATCACCTCTCCTTAAACATTTCATTCACAGGATCCTATTCCTGTGGTGGGTGTGTTCTCTCCACAGGTGGGCAAGTGTGCCAAGAACACATCCATCAACAGAGAAACGGCAATCAGAGACATGGCATGTTATTCTAACCAGAAAACTACTCCTTAATATTCAGATAACATAATGGCTATTCAGGAAAAGCAACATTCAATCAACTGATTTTAGCTATCCATGGCTCACCCACTCATGTTACCCTAGCAAAGCAATGGTTCCTCTTTGGCCATCAATCAATGAATGTACTTGGAGCAAAACCAATCAATGGCCTTTGCATTGATATTCTCCTAATCACGGTTCTGCCCCTCAGAGGATTTGTAGGGTGACTGGTTTCATGCCAGAGAAATCAACCTTCCTGCATACCTGATTAGTCACCACATCTCCTCTCTTTCAATTGGATCTTAATGGCCTCTACCTTTCACAAGAGGTCCTCCTCTTTGCTTTCTTTCTTCAGCATAAGCACAAAATGACATATAACACAAAGAAATAAGTAGAATTAAGTGATAAATTCTACTTACCAGGGTGTATATGTGTGTGTCATTGATTTGTACCAGATTTTATTAAATGGCAGGAATTTCCCAAAGGAAGATAACATCCAGAAACTATACAAAAGATTTATTCCCCACACTTTGCAGATTATTTAATATAAACAGTGCTTGATATGACTCCAAGAAAAATGTTGTTTTGCTGTTTTCCCATATTCATTTTTAGTTTGGTGGTATGTACCTGCATGTGTGCATGGAGAACCCATTGACTTATGCATTCCCTGCTTCAGAGCCTAAGCAAAAGCATCACACAGCAGAACCAGGAACTATCAATTTTACCAATGGTTTCTCTTTTGGCATGAGGAAAAACAAGCAAAGACTCAAGTGTCGATTTTTCAGCATCCTTGAATATTTTCAATTTTCTCAACAAATATAGCTAAATATTTTTAAATTGCATATGTGTGCATGAACACCATTGTTCATGTCTCACAGTGGAAGATGGTCACATTCATTAATGAATTTTTACTCATTCTGGAGAAGCAATGCATTAACTAAATAACTAGTCCTCATCTGCCTTACATAGTGTTATGACAAAGGCCCAGGGAGAAGTTTACAGTTTCCTTTTCATCTTTTTGCTTCCTCCATTTACTTAACTTCCACTGATATTCTCACGTCTACTAATCAGGAAAGAGGATCTCGTGAAACAAAATCATGGGAGTCCTATGAAGAATGTTCCCCAATTTCATCAGGAGAAATCATATCTTCTGAAACAGCTTCTACGCCTCATTAAAGGAGTCAATTTTTTCCCCTAGACAGAATTTCTTTACATATGGTTCCACAGAGGGGTTACCACCCCCACAATTATGAACTTGCAAACACTGGGGCCAACCCTGGTGATAGTCTCAGTATCTTGACTAAATCAGTTTAAAAGCAAATAGGCATTAGACAATAATCTCAATATTAACTTGCCTTTCTTGCTGCTCCATCAGAGCAACTAAAAGGATGTGAGCCCCCTTTCACCATTCACCTAGTCTTCCCCTAGTTCTCTCCCTGTGTGGTACCCTCCACATTGGTAAGGTCACTGCCTTCCTCCTGCCAGCCTAGTTATTTATTGACATAAGCTTGCATTCTCAGGCATTATCAGCTTAATGCATAATTCAAAATCTCTCACATGTGGCCAGCACTTTTGCCTTATCCTCAGCATTCTGAATGAAAGATAAGAGCTAGTATTTCTAAAGTGAGCACATGAAAGGACTTCTGTACATTAACATCCTTCCCTGCCCCCAACTCTGGTCCTCCTCCACCTCTTGGAAAAATTGCTTGCCTTCTGCTCACTCCCACACTCTTCTCAAAGGTTCCATATTGAAAGAAACCAGCCCCTGAGATGGCCCAAAAGTTTGCACTAAGTGAGGATTCATGAACTTTCAGGGTGAAAAGATTTCTAATAGCAGAAAAATCACAGTTATTACCTTGAGCATCTACATTGTAGATCAGCAGTCAGATGGCTTCCGTAAAGCAATTGCTTCAAATATCTGTAATTTAAAAAGACAAAAATTGAGTAAGAACTTATTTATCCAGTTGGAGGAAGGAGGGTACACATGCGGTAGAAATGAGGAAAAGAGGGTGAGTAGGCAGACAGGAGCCATGGAAAAGGTTTCTTACTATGCAGGCAGTAAGAAGAAAAGTTAGGACACCAGGGTCCTGGCACAGGTAGCCTAGCCGCCAAAATCCAGGATCACATAGAGGTTCCAGATCATGCCCCAGAGGCTCCACTTCCCATCCAGCTCCCTGCTTGTGGCCTGGAAAAGGATGGAAGATCTTCCTCTCTGTCTCTTCTCTCTGTATATCTGACTTTCCATTGAAAATAAAATAAATCTTTGGAAAAAAAGTTAGCACACCAAACAGAGTGAGGAGGTGATGAAGGAATAGGAAAATTGAAAGAGGGACAGGTTCGAGGGTGAGGAAGGGAAGAATAAGTTTAAGCAGTTGCGAAAAGAGGGCTGCAAGATCAAGCATAGTAGAAGGTTAATTCAGTCAGAATCAATTCAGTAAAAACGGCTGGAACGATTTTTTCCCCCTACTGAATTGACTGCTTTCTGATTGAATTGATTGAATTAACCACTTAGCTTTTTTTCTCCTTTTTTAGATGATGTTTGAAAAAGAGAAAACGAGTAGATAAGCCTGCCTACAAATACTGAGATCCACATAAACACACACACACACACACAAATACATGTATATTCATATTGGTTTTCTCAATAAGTACCACCACTGTCCCCTAGCATATTCACAAGCATGTCACATATATACACATAAGAAAAACTGTGACTGGTTCATTTCATGCTCCAAAAATAAATTGTCATGTTGAAGAAGAGTCTGTCCTCAATTAAAAAAAAAAACACTATAAAATTACACCAGCACTCTTTCTCAGTATCATTTAAAAGTCAAGTTCACCAACCCCTAATGCACCTAGGTCCAAGTCAGGACATTGTGGTAAAAACAAAAGGGCACCAAGATCATTGCAACTATTACTAAAGATGGGATTCTACTAGATGCTTTTACAAGCTTTTTGAGCCCATTGAGCAATAATTCCTTTCTTTATAAATGTAAAACATGAATTATTAAAAAATTAGACATTTAGAATAATGGTTCTCTCCACACAAAGTATTTATTTCAACTTTCATCACTCATAGTTTATTGCATTGATTTTTTCATCAGTTTACTTAGTATTAGACTTCCACTGGTCTCATCAATAAGAAATGAATTTTGGTAACTTTCAAATCCACTGTATTATTTTTCCTTTTATTCATAGTGAATTTTTCTTCTCTCAATGGTATTACTGCAATAAGTCAGTCATTATTTCTTTATGTTTTCCCTTCTTTCTTTAGTATTTCATTTCCCTTTACAGCACTTCTTGTGATCACAAAGAACACAGAGACACTTATTTCTTTTAACAGTTGAAATTGCTGCAAGTGATTTAGCTGTCATTTAATTTGATTCCTCTCTTCTGTCTGTGGAGAAATATGTTTAATGTACTGGAAATTATGTTAATAAGAAAAAGCATTATCTCATTTAATGAAATAAATATACAAATATTTCAAAATAAAATAAAGAGGCAATCTTCACTGAGAAAAATGTCTCTTATGGTTTGCATAAAATAAACAAATGAGAAAAAAAACTCATGAATATATTGAAACACTGACAAAAATTATGCCAATGTTCAAGCAGGGAGCCTGGGGAAGAGGGGTGGAGTATCGTAACCAAGTCATTCATGATTTAATTTATTTTTTCCAAAGCAGGGTCATATATTAAGGATCGAATTACCAACTTGTATTTCCAATTACCTAAAGCAAGATAATTTTATTTTTCTCTATCGGACAGGACGTTTTGAAAATTTGCCTTTGTATTTTTTTCCTCTTCTCTTTCAATTGGTCTTTCAATGACTAATATTGCTTGAATTAATAATGATCAGAAATTTCATTAAAAACATGACCAACAACACAAATGACTATAAGGTAGGTTATAAAATTTCTTTGATTTTTGCTAATCAAAATAGTCAATGAACTTGTACTAAAGCTTTTACATATTAAAATTTATGTAATGCACAAAAAGGCTAAATATATTGTTAGTGATTTGAGCTAAACTTGAAGCAATTATGTAATAGAAGCATGACCACAGTAACAGAAACACATAATTAGCAATTTAATTACTGGCATGAAGATAAGCTGAAGATGTCAATAATAATAATAATAATAAACTTCAGTAACAAGCCAGTTTTGTTTTCTTTACTGCAATACAAAACACCACCTGATGAGCAAAAACCATTTGATAGAAAACATCTATCCCACGACCAACTGAAATACCCAATTTAAAATATTTCTGATTTCAATTCATTGCATAGTGAATCATTATATTTTCTCCCATTTAGATTAGTATTATCTTCTCTGAAAATACAATATTTCAAGTCAGCAAGTAAAGAATATTATGTTGTTTCAAATGAGTTAAAGTAGCAGGTGTTCTTTGCTTCAATTTCATTTTGTTGCAGTTTCAATAATGTGTTTGTTTCCCCATATATGACATTCCAAATATCTTATATTTTCTTGTCTCCTAAGTTTTAGCTGGGAAAAATGAATAAACCACCAGGTTTTAAAAGGAGAGAAATGCTAACTATACTAGAAACAATAAAATTCATCAGGATTTCCTCTGAGTCTCTCACAAGTTCTTTCCCTTTCCCATCTCTGTATTTAGGGTTGAAGACGAGAGGTGGAAAAGAAAAACAACCTTGGTTTGTTGTGAAGAACTTCACCAGCTAATTTTCAACAGAATCTCCGGACTCAGATTTGTAAATGGTTCTGAATGACTCATCTGAAGTGCTCAATGGATTCTTACCACTTTATATTTTACTAATATTCAACTGGTAGCAGAAAATGATTATTTCAGAATAGAACCAAATTGGAAGAAGCTTTCTAGCTTATGATAAAATGTAAATCAACTTGACCAGTGTTCAATGGCCACTTGTACAAGCCTGTTACACAGAATATAATTATGGAAACAAGACTGAGTTTGAAACTGGGTCTATACATTTCCCAGGGGCTATGATGGAATATATTTTAAAAAAATATTCTAATAATAAATAACATAATAACTCCTAATAGCATTGCTTTTTATCTAATCATTTTGACATACAGGTCTCTAAAAAGTCTAGTCATGAGAGGGGGTATTGAGAGCAAACTCAAACCTTCAATTGAAACTATTTTTGAAAAGTGTATTTTATTTCTCTATAATTTGATGAATATGCAAAAATGCAACTAGTGGGAAATGACTTTTTTGAAACACTGTGGCCAATATATTGGAAACCAGATTCATTAATTTCCTGTATAGATTTAGATTAACAAGTTCCTATTTTGATTATTGTTCTTTACACATCACTGTAGGCTTCTGAACAGCTGTGTAAACTGTAAACCTAAACTTACCTGAGTTGTCCAATTTTAATCATTCAGGCTTTAACTTCATCTTTCCTACTTTATAGTTTACATCCAAGAAGCTGCTGAATGCTTTATTTACATGTTAACTAGACTCCAAAGAAGAACTTCGACATTAACCATTATGGACACTGGGTGAGCAGGGAGACTTCTTGGAAAGTTTACAATCTCATTAGGAAGACTGCAATCAGAAGTTACGTTGCCTCAAACCTCAAGCGCACTTATGAATACATCTGAGAGCTGATGCAAATAATACAGAAACATCCACGGACTAAAGGGAACACCACAATGCTGTAGGTACTATGAAGTAGAATTTACAAAGCTTTAAAATGAAACTTTTCAGGTGAATTTATGAGCTAAGGAGTGCTTTCCATAGGTGAAGAGTCAAACAGGTTAAATTATTTACCCAACCACAAATACATTGCAATTAGACTCTTGGTGGTTTTGTTGAACCTTAACTTAAAGGCAAGAAGAAGGAAGCATCTGAGATGAAGGAAGCATGAGGATTGTAAGTCAGGGGCACAGGGAACCCAGAGACTGATGCAACAGGAGCCAAGAGTAGGGTGAACTGTTTCCCTAAGGACAGTGGTGAAGGCAATGAGAGGAAGATGGGAAATAAGGATGGGAGCTGTGAGTAACTGGGGAGCTGTTCTCTTGGCACTGAGGAGTTGTCCACAGCTTCTGAACAGAACAGTGGCAGGATAAATCAAAAGGAAGCATGCAGTGCAAAGATGAAAAGCAACTGGCAAAGGGGGAGCTACTGGTGTTCCACCCAGACTCTTCACCTGGGACAATGGCTGCTAAAGGCTCCCCGCTGCCCTTCAGGATCTGCTTCACTCCAGCAACCTGTACAAGGGTTGCCTGACATGTGAGCAAGGAGGAAGCAACAAAAAAGCTACTTGGTTTCATGTTCAGGGCATCAATTTTCTGAGGTATACATGTGCTCTGCCCTGAGTCCTCACCCCTTTGTTCTATTCAGTGTGTCCCCAAGAAAGTCTCCTGAGGCAGTGACCTGTCTTCCTCCCATCTGGAGGAAGAACAACCTACTGACCAGTTACTTAACACACACGGAAGATAACCAGAGCAATGAAAAGCAACCTGGTCATGCATGAAGATCATGTAGACGTGATTGTGATTTTCTGATCTTCTTGCCTTGAAATGCTCAGGAAGTGAAATTCAATTCCACCATTCTGTTGGGCACAGGAGCTGCAGGCAGCCTCCCTTGCAGGTGGACATAGAAAGTTAAAGGAATACTCTTACAATATTAACTGAGCAGACCCTCTGGGTTTCTCTATATCTCAACTCCAATACCGCCCCATAGGAAATATCCATGCTATGCTTGAGTAGAAAACAAATTTTAAATTTACATATTTTTCTACATAAACTGTGAAGTGACAGGGAAAACTATTTTAAAGTACGGAGGAAAACATGTAAACAAGCTTTTTACACAAAATCATTGGATTTTTCTAATGTAGCAACCTAAATACCACAGTATCTTACATCCTTATGCCATATATTGATGTCTTCAATGATAGGCTAGAAGAACACTA